CTCAATCGGATATCGGAATACAAAGTTATGATAAAAACAATGAAGGAAGGTGCAGCTGCCTGTTTAAAACAAGAAATTCCGTTACATAATCCGTTAAAACAACAAATTCTGTTAGTTTTTCCGTTAAAACAAGAAATTCCGTTACATAGTCACTTTTAATATATAGAAGATATATATATATATATAATTTAGGTCTAGAAAGTGTCTCAAGTCATGTGTAGGACAATCATAGCGACAGACACAAGACCGAGTTCATGAATCTTCCAATCATTCAAGATGTCCATAAACCCTTGTTTCAATTAATCACGCATCATAATCACGCCTCCATAAATGGGAAATAAGATTCTGATGAAGTATAAGAAGAGAGAACAATGCTGAGATTGAAGTCAAAACTAGTCTAGAAGTCACGTTGCACGCGACACATTAACAAAACAAGTCTATATAAATAAGACAGAGGGAATATATGATTTACATTACACCATTTTTTTTTTCTTTAATAGATAGAAATTTATTGAGAATTAGACTTCTAAAGCTGTTGTGTGCAACAATAAAGATCATTATGTGTACGAACATGCAAAAGTTAGCTTGTTACGCACACTTGAAATGCTCATCAGGCATTATCGAACATGGAGTATATAAACATAATGCAATACTTTCAACTTTGAGAAATGGATAAACCTCTACGTAAGTGGGATAGATAAAACCCCAATTTTAATTTTATTTTTTTAAAAAAATCCCATTCTAAATATTTTTTCCAACAATAACAATTAAAAGAATTTATTTTCTAAGAATTAATGCTATGATGATTTGGCATACCATTAGAGTAGATTTTTACACCACATTGGTGTAAAATGTAACATTAGTCATGACACAAAATTGATAAAATGATTTGGTTTACCATTGGAGATGTCCTGAGAAGAATTAATGAAAAACCCATAGGATTAATTAACAGACCTCCAGTTATTATAAAGCATATGTGGACTGGCAAACAGCAACTACACTGAAAAGGAAACTTAAAGCCCATAACTACATACAAGAACAAAATTAAGGTTGTCTTAAAATATAGAATCACACGCATGTTCATTCCTGCACATCATCACTTTCTGATATGGATCTTGAATAGCCTACACCTTCCATTAAGAGTCATTCATCTTTCTTCTTAAGCCCACCAGAAAACAAGTCCTGAAAACAGGGCGATAATGGAGGGGAAGAGGATGTTTTTTCTTAGTAGAATCTCTGCATCGCTCATGTCATTGTTGATGCTAGAAGGGCCTAAGCCATTGCTACCGCCACCTAGTACGCCACTAGGAAGGCTGGTGGAAGGTGTAGTGGTGGTGGTCGATACAGGCGTGTTTGCGCCGCTGAAATAAATTAATGACAGAAGGTTACACATCAAAGACTTTTAGACCAGACATAGGAGAGTAATAGGAGGAATAATTCTAGAACAGTAACTATGCAAATTGATTATCAAATTATAAGAAATTATAATCTATAATATTTCAACATAGGCCAGGGTGATGGGATTGTTTGCATATTTCCTTTTCTAGCCTTTTCACTGGTGTTTAGTTACTAAGCTAGACATCAACTTCCTTTTTGGATTGGGAGAAAAAATTGAGAATATAAAACAAAGTAAGCCTTGTTGTCAACAACTTTGAATCTCTTGATAGCCACTTTATTCAACTCTAGAATTGATTTTGTCAATGACCTCAAAACTAGTCTTTATTTGCACTAGGTTCTGGTTAGAGGTGAAATCTTTGAGAAATTCAAAGAATGAGCTCACAGAATTCTAACACTCTCTCGCATGAGGGTGGGTCCCGTGCAATAAAAAAAGAAACACACCACGTATAGAAGGGAAATCAACATAAATGGGTCAGAATACTCACATCATGTGGAGCCCGCGCATTTTTTATTTTTTTAATACACAGTGAGGCTTGATTTCTATACAAATGGCTAAAACCATAAAAAAAAAAAAAACCACCCACTTCCCCTTGTGAGAGTTTTAAGTGTTCTGTTTCTGTACATGTAGTTTCTCTCGAAATCTTTTGGGGGCGAGACAGACAAATTTGTGCCTACAAGTTCTGGGCATTGACTAGCTCATCTCTTACGGACAACCAGCCATGCCTATAGTCTTTTACAAAAGTCTCTGCATTTATGTTCCTTTCATAGGCTGCACGGTGCTCTAGCCAGACACATTTTAGCAAGGATTTTGCTACCAGTACAAAGTACATTTTAGCAATTAACACCTCTAGGTCTGGAATGTTTGGCATGGAGAGGGAAGAGCAATGACAGAACAGCACACAGGTTTCAAAAAAATGTAAGACAACACAAATCTTAAGGCAACTGGCACTCAAGGATTTGAAATGGACTTTTCACAATTGCGCACATTAATTCTAGTGCCTGCAAGATTGATTTGAATATGGACAAAAGGACAGGTCCAGTTGTCAGTGGTCATGATTCTTGAAATAGCCACCACAACTTTTTGACCAAAAATTCTTTTGAACAGCAAAAAGGGTCAAAAAGGGTACTACGAACAAAGCCCCGTTTCTCTCCATTCAAATTATAATTAATTTTACTCTTTCTTTTTATCAACTATACATTATCCCCGTAAACCCAATTATTTACCATCTTGTAACAGTAATAATGTAAATTAGAACAAAGAGGAAGCTTGGACACTGCTACTGCCAATTATTGCCCTATCTTTTTAAGTTGGTTAGTGCAATCATACAGCCAATAATGGGTAATGGAGTCAAAGTATACCATCACGAATAGCATGTAATGTGAAAGGGTAGATATAAAGAAAAGAGAATTGGGATTTTTGCTCCTGTAAACTTTGTCAAACATACACTTGGGGACCTGTTTGAGCCCATTCTTTTCGCAAAATGCATTTTAAACAGTGGTTGACGAAGATTTTGTGGTTAAAAAATAAAAAAAAATTAAATTTACATGTAATATTATTTTATTCAAAAATATGTGACTGTAAAAAATAAAGGAGAATGATGTATTTTAAAATTATTGGTGATCAAACATGCTCTTAAGCAGAAAATAAATTGCAGATCCCATAGGCCCGATAGTATGAACAATAAAAAAGGTCGAAAACGGATTGTGCAGACGACTGTTTTCCACTCTAGTCAAGAAATTATGAGTGGCCTTTGTTTTCTTCTACAGGTTAATGACAGAGAGTGAAAATTGCGGATGCATTTACTAAAAATGTTACTGAAATCATGAAGGCAAAGGAATCTTATTGTACATCAAGAATAGGTTTGCTTTATGGGTGCTCATGAAAATATGAAAGATTAAAGACCTTTTTCGAAAGGGAATCTAATATTTGACGCAAATGAAATATGATAAATATCATTGAAATCATACTACTTAAATGCGCAAGGTCTGGCACGCAGTAATGAACAAGACCGAATGCAGTTAATTTTGGCCAAAGTCCCTCATTCTAGAGAGGGATTAGCACCTTCGCCGCCGCCCCCACCATTTATGTCCTACTTGGTACTAGTACAATAAGTTGATTACTGTAAACATGAAATTTCGAGTCGCTAAATGAAGCAAAACATTGATAGACATTTTCAGTAAAAACCATTAAGCATTTCTTGGCATACAAATTTCGTTTGAACAAGTTTATCTTCTAAAAAAACTTAAATTTAATTTTTTTTTTCAAAAAGTAGATTTGAAATGGAGTGGGACCATCTTGCACAGAAGTCGAGTAAAGTGTTTTTTAAATCCCCGAGACAAGAAAAGGCTCTTAAAACCATACAAAGAACAAAACATTAATTTGTGGCTATGATGAAATAACAACGTAGTGTTAATTAAGATGTGTTTGATGGATATTATTGAGGAAAAAATATATTTTAAATAGTGACATGATGAAAAATGTGGTTAAAAAGTATGAAAAAGTTGATGAAAAATATTATTTTATTGAAAAATGTGTAATTGAAAATAAGTTATAAAATAATGTATTTTGAAATAAAGTGCGTCAAACAGGGACTTAATATCGTCTTTTTAATTAATTAAATTCTTGGATTCTCTTGATTAAAAATATAGACAAATAAATCATGTACTAGTAACTCCAGTATAAATCTTACCTTGCACTTGCAGGGTAAGAACAGCCAGTTGTGCCTGTAAATCAACCCAAGAAAAGAGAGTGAGTACAAAAAAAAGTTTAAACAAGAATATTGTAATACCTTCTAAAGTTAAAATAACTCATTAGTCTAAGGACTTATAGTAAACTTTCACTTTA